CAACAAGACTTATAACCTCTATTCTCACTTTTTTTTTTTTAACAAGGGAGAGAGAGGAGGGTAGATAATGTAAAAAATTTTACTCCCAAGATCTTTTCACTTTTGAAGAGAAAATGTGATGGATCCCACACTCCATTTTTTTTCTCACTTTTTTTTCTTCTGCTTTTCCTTCATCATCCAAATAAGTTAAAAGTTATTTTCTCTCCTAATTTTGTTAAAAATTGTGCCCTAGGCCAATTATTGTATTTTGAATATTGTGTTTTATTAAAAATTTCTCTTTATTATTATATTTTTTGCATGTTCTCTATGATAATCATTTCTTTGGATAAATCATGGTGATTGAGATTTAGATGAACATAATGCATTATTTATAATAATTTTTGTTCCTTTAGGTAATATTATAATTTCTCTTTTGAAGCCATCAATTAATTTGGTTTTGCCCACTATGGTATTAATGCTTCCATTCCTTATTATTAAATAAGAAAGATATTTTTTATCTTTAAGTATGGTGTTCATTGTAACACTATTCATGAGGCATATATCTTCATTCTTGTGTCTGATGAAAGCAAGGAATAATTAAAATAATAACTTTATAAAATGAAATTTATTCCAAGCAATAATGTTTTTATTGCAAGAAAACAAGAAAGCTAAATGAAAACATACATAAAATGTAATCCAAGTTGTTCTAATTAATTTTCAACCAAAATTTTCTAAACCTAATTTTCAAAGAAATCAACCACCTCCAAGTTTGTCATAGCATCAAGGCCCTTAGTATTATCTAACTCATTGATATCATCATTCTTGTATGCAAAATTTGCCTCAAAATTATCATTTTGAAAATTTGCTTCTACATTATTTGAATTCTTTTTTATGAAGACTTGATGAAGCTTTATTTTTCTAGATGCTCAGGCGTGCAACAAGCACATAATCAATGTCCCTTCATACCACATTGATAACATTGTATTTCAATAGTTTTTAAAGGACCATTGTTATCTCTTTTTCACCCTTCATTATTTTTCTTCTTTTGGTGGGTGTTAGGATTATAATTAGTACAATTACCACTATCATAACAGCAAGTAACATGTCCCCTGCCACAACCACGGCCACGGCTATAGTCATGACCATGGTAATTACTACATATAGTCACATTCGCTTAAGGGAATGGAGGTGATCTAGTTGGATGCATCTCATAATTTTTCATCAACAGCTCATTATTTTGTTTAGCCACAAGAAGACATGAGATTAATTCATAATACATTTTAAAACCCTTTTCACCATATTGCTATTGCAAGAGCTTATTTTAAACATGAAAAGTTGAAAATCTCTTTCTATTAAGTCATCATCAGTCATTGTCTCATCACATAATTTTAATTGAGAACTTATTTTAAAAGATGCTGAATTATATTCACTTGCATTTTTAAAAGATGCACCCTCAAATGCATCCATTCATATTGGGCTTTAAGTAAAATTACTGTATTCTGGTTGTCATACCTTCCTTTAAGATCATTCCACAATTTTAGTGGATCTTTTATTGTTAGATAGTTTGCTTCATTTCTAAGTAAAATTATATTTCCTATACCTTTAGCATATAGGTGAATTTCAACATCCAACACTCAAGATAGATAATTCTCTCATGTAATATCAACGTAATATCAAGAGCCATAAATTCAAGTGTGCAAAGATTTGCCATGATTCAAACTAAAATAACAATAACATTAGAATTATGACAACAATAATAAAATAAAGCATAGTAAATAGGGAAAATATTAACCAAGGATTCCGAGATCAATTTTATATCATTTAAGGACCAATAAATTTGTAAATTTTATTGCAGTCCATTGATCCTTGGTTGATATTGATTTTGTTGCCAAAAAGACTAAACTACCCCTAAATTGTTATTAAGAATTTGACATACAATATATTTGATATTAATAACGCTTCATTCTCACTTTAACAAGTTCTAAATGGGCTTAGATTTACAAGTGTTGATTTTACATTAACAACAATCCATTCACCTTTTGATAAGAACCCATTCGAGAATATCAATCCACTCTAAATTTTACGAATTGAAAAAAAAAAGATAGAAGAGGCTTAGATTTACAAGTGTTGCTTTTATATTAGAGAGTAACAACAACTCATTCTAAATTTTAAATTTAAGGACTGTACTTGCAAGTGTTGGAGTGGGCAACTTGCTGGTTAATGAGAATTAAGGAGTTAAGGAGGTGAGCAAGCGAGAGCAATTAAGCGAGGGTTTGAGAATTAAGAGACCAATTCTGTTATTTCTATCTTTTTTTAAAAAAATTAAGTGGGCTAACCCACAATGTAAGAAGGGCCAAAATTGACCCACATAAAAATGAACCCATTTTTTCAACCCAACCTGCCTTTTTTTTTTATGGGTGGCAGCAACTCAACCCATACTACTAGCTCTAATAATTTGTAAATTCCCTCTTCTTCAATAAATGTAAACTACATGGAATGAAAGTTTGTTATAAATAAATGAACTTTGAATTTTATTTACTGAGTTTTTGTTGTACATTCCATCTGGGTAACTTTTAAATTTTTTCTACTTCAAGAAGCATAAACCATGTGAACTATATGATATTAATCAATGTTTTGTTATTAATAAATGAAATTTGAATGTTATTTATAAAGTTTTTGTTGTAAATATCATCTAGGTAAGTTGCAAATTTTCTTTCCTTCAACAAATGTAACTTACATGGACTATGTAAAATGAATAAACGTTTTGTTGTTGTTTTTTATTGCAAAGACATTTTGTTGTTAATAAATGGACTTTGAATGTCATGTATGGATATTTCGCAAATGAAAAATTCCATCTTTTTATCAAAAAAACTTAATTCCAAGAGAGACTTTTAGGCCTATAGAATTATATCAAATTTTATTGAGTTTTAAATGAAAACTAGATTTTAAACCCCATGTGATGGATGCACATAAAGTTTAACATTTATTTGATTTGAGGAGAATGAAAAGGAAGAAAATGAGAGAAAAATTTTTATACATACATACATACATACATACATACATATATATATATATATATATTAAGCCAAAAGTTAACATAAGCATAATGTACAAAAAAAAAGTCATAAAACTAAAACATTACAAAATACCTTAGAAGAGAAATTAAATACAGAGTAAAATAAATCTTCTTGGATGACTTGGAAATGATTATCTCAAAATTTATGGAGCAAATGATTGATGTCCAAGATTATGGTGTTGAAACTATAACTAAGAATGCCGTTGGAGAAAAAAGTTATTTATAAATGCTGTTGATTTTAGGATTAAAGGTCATTTTTACCCTTCAAATTTACCTAAAAGGTCAATAGACATCCTAAACTCAATATGGATCAATTGTATCTTTTAGCATTAAAGATTTTCCCTCTCGTCACCCTGTCGTTAATTTGTTGTTCATCTTTAGCGGGCATCATATTCTATTTTTTTAATATTTTTTATTATAAAATATTTGCATTCAAGGTGCCCATTGACTCTCAAACATTAACCCAAGGAACTAAATCTTTAACGTTGAAGGACAAAAAATGATGAGCTAACAGCAGGGTGGCAAAGAAGTAAATCTTTAATGTTAAAGGATAAAATTGACTCATACAGGGTGCCCAGTGACCCTTTGAGTAAAGTTGAGGACAAAAATGATCCTTAATTAACCTTTGATTTTAATGAGAGAAAGAATTTAATGAAATTAGAAAATAAAAATTAATAAAAATATATTTATATTAAGATAATAAATACCATGTTTTGTTTTTTAAATTTTTTAAAATTTAAGTTCCAATATAAACAATAATTTATTTTAGTTTATAAATTATTCATATCCATATAAATAAAAAATAGTAAAAAAATGTTTTATTTTTAAACTTGTTTCTTTCACACCGCATAAACAATCTGTATTACTTTAAAATTTGCTATACTCCCTCCATCCTTATATATAAGATATTGTTAGCATATTTTTTAATGAATGAACCATTATACTTTTATTAAATTGAAAAAAAAAAGATAAGTACTCTCATTAATTTATTTTAAAAAAAGATATTTATTTTTTATTTACAACAATTAAAGGCAAAATTAAAATATTACTGTACTTTTAATTAGATAACTAATTTTTATTAGTTTGCATGATTTAGTTAAATACATATTATATATAAGGATAGAGAGAGTCTATGCATATAAGGAATATAAACTAACATCGCATTTTAGTTCATATTAAGAATATAATCAAATTTCAACAGTTATCAATCAAATGATGCACAAATATCAGTTTCTCACTCAGATTTGGTCAGGGAATATAAACCTTCAGCCGGTGCTTGACCCTCTCCGGCTTCTACTGATATGGATTAGCAACTTCAGCAAAAACTACAATCTTGCCATGGAGTCCTTGACAATTGCATGTGAGACCAAAGTAACAGAGTTTTTGTTGTACAGTTTATCAAGGTAATTTATAAATTTCTTCTTCTTCAGTAAATATAAATCGCATGAAATGTTTTTTTTATTGACAAATAAAATTTGAATGTCATTTATGGAGTTTTTGTTACAAATATCATTTAGGTGACTTGTAAACTTTCTCACCTTAAACAAATATAAATCATGTGAACTATGTAAAATGAATAAATGTTTTGTCATTGTTTTTTAGCCAGAAATATTTTTTTTATTAATAAATGAATTTGGAATGTTATTTATGAATATTTCACATATAAACAATTCTATCTTTTTATAAAAGAACTTAATTTCAAGAGAGACTTTTAAACCTGTAGAATTATATCAAAGTTTATTAAGCTTTTAATAAAAATATGTTGGTTCCGTGAGCTCGTAATGAGATTCTCCTAGCAATACAGTAAACCTGCTTTTGTTTTTCATTTTATGTTTTAATTTTTTTTTTATTACGCACTTGAGGACACACTCTTTTTACTTTAATTAATTAATGGATGGCATAATAATAATTATTGGCACAACTTTATGACTTTTAAAGTCACGCTCCTCGATCAGTTTCTTCGACGACTCTGTTTTAGTTTCTCTCGCGGTTCTCTTCGCGCCTCCGTCGCTCTGTCGCTCGTTCAGCTTGCTCTCTCTTTCGTGCTTCGGTGACGGAGAGGTATATTATCTCTTTTACTCTCACTCATTCTCAGCTTCGTCTTCATCTCTGAGATCTTGCCTCTTTTCATATCTGGCCATTCATATGTCCTTTTCACCGAAAAGAAGAAATGCTTTCTGTGATTTGGGAATTATAAATTGGGGAATTTGAATCTGTGCGATCGTTAAGATCGGTGTGGGTTGGGCTTTTTATGATTATGCTTTGTCTTCTAGGCTTAGGATTGTTTTAACTGTATAACGAGTCTCATACTTATCTTCATTAATCTCTAACTTCATCACTTCTTGTGATTTATTCTATGAGGAATGAACTTTATCACGTGGATCAATTTCTATGCTATATGGATTTATTACCTACTAAGCGGTAACAAGTAATATGTATAGAGTTTGATTGGACTCATAGTTATTGTTGTTGACAGATGTTGATACTTCACATCATGCAATTCTGTTTTTAGTCATTTGTAATCTTATGCCCCTTGGTGGCATGAAATTGAGATTAGAGAAGCGAAAGTGAAAGTGAAATCGAAACTTAAAAAACCAGGTTATTTGGTATAATGGATCTTATTTTTTCAGAGAATTTGGTTTCATCAAAATTGGTGGAACTCACTCCCACGTACCCATGGAACTCACTTCTTCCCTCACTTTCTTCATAAAACATTCTTCTTCTTCCACTTTCTCTTCCACTTCCCTTCCATAAAAATTGTTCCATATTATCAACCAGGGCATTATTGTTATGGTTAGGACAACGTAATATGTACTTATTTTTGTACTGTAAAATATCGGTATCCTATATGAAAAATGCCTTATTATGAGACCTAGAGAAAACTGATTATACTTCTGCTACTCATTTTTATGAAAAATTACTGATATGTTATATGATGCTGCTGTTAGCTACGACTTAGGACAAAGTACTTCCTTCCACGGTCCTTTCACTTCTTCTCTATTTTTAAAATATAAGTTTTCAGTCCTGTTCCCCCCTCCCCCCTTCTCTGTGATTTCTCTGTTTGGATCTTGCATTTCTCTTGTCGTTCCTCTGGGTTTTTGGTTTAGCTGATATTATAGTGGATTTGGGGGTTTTTGTTTCTTTATCCAGTCTTCTCATATGGGTAAGATTTTCTTTCTGGTGGGATTGGTATGTTTCTGAGATGATAACATTAATATGCATTCACAATTGTGGCGAAATCTTGTAGAAAATAATCACATCTTGAAACCTATTTATTCTACAGATTACTTGCATTTAGTTTTTATTTTCCCATGTTTACGTCATAATTATGTAATCCCTTAAATATCTAGGCTAGTTGTTTGAATTCGAATCTCAATCCCTCTAAAGCAAAGCCTATGTACCAAATAGGACCTTAGGGTTCCAAACAATCTTGAACCTATGGTTTAAGAGACAAATTGTGCTTCAACCCTTTAATCAATATGACTATTTTGAATTGGGGGCTAATTGTCATTCTTATGGTAGATGGAGGAAACTGATTCAAAGATGTGGCCTGAGTTAATAGCTAAAGCTTTGGTAGATACTATAGCTAAAAGTCATGAGTTGAGGGAAGCACTTGCTGCGTGGACTGAAGCAACTAAGGCAAAAGCTGAGAGATACAAAGGTGAGAGAAGGAAGGAGGCCACTTCTTCGTCGTCGGATTATTCTCTTGCAAAGTGTGTGATTGCTCTTGAGGAGATGGGGGACGATGCAGAATATGGTTTTGTGGAAGCCTTGAAAATTTTCAAGAGCGACCCTGAATGGAGAGAGATTTTTCTTACCATGACTTTTGACAAGAAAAAGCGATGGCTAAGTCTTGTTGAATATGGACGTTTATGAGTCTTTATGTTGTTATTGAACTTCTTGATTATGCCATTAAACTTGTGAGTTTGGGTTGGTGAGGTTTTGTGAGCCTTTATTCTGTTATTCTCTAAAAGCATGTCTCACAATAATCTGCCACTTGTCAATTTTAAGCCCGAGAGCATGCCTCAGTTGCTGTATGTTGTAAAGTCGTTCTGATCAATCGTTTCACGCCATATATCCGAAACCTTAGGAGAGTCACATTACACTACGAATTTGATGAAGTTCAAACCCGAGCTACGTCTTGCTGCTTCGCCCCCATTAACCCTCCGTTTGGATAGGGGAAAAAAAAGTTGAGGGTAAAGAAAATAGTAGATAAGGCAAGAAAGAAAATATTACCACTTTTAGTATTTGGATGGGTAGAAGAAAAGAGCAAAAAAAAAAAAAAGAGCAAATATCACATGATCATAATAAGCTTATGCCAAAATATATCATATATATAATTATATTTATTAAATTAAATTGAATGCAAAAACTATATGAAAATTAACATCATCAAATTAATTTAATATTAAATTAGTCGTTAAAAGGAAAAATGACAATAAAAATTTTTGAATTATATAAATAACATTTTGGTCACTCAAAATGTCATAAATTCTTTAAAATCCATAAGGACTTTTCTGTCATTAAAGAATTAATATAAATGATCAAATTATCCTTAATTCAAGATTTCAAATGCAAACTTGCAAATTAATGTTGCATTCTTGTGATTTTAAAAATAAAAGTTGTGAATCTTATAATAAAACTTGTAAATATCAATTGATATTTGTAACGCTTGAGGAATATAATGAATTCAAATACAAACTTGCAAATTATAGTTGAATTATTGCGATTTTAAAAAGAAAAGTTGTGAATCTTAAAAAAAAAAACTTGTGATTGACAATTGATATTACAACATTTGAGAAATACCAAGATTTCAAATGCAAACTTGCAAATTACTGTTAAATTTTTGCAATTTTAAGAAGAAAAGTTGTGAATCTTAGAATAAAACTTGTAAACAGCAAATTGATATTTGAATTAAGGGTAATTTTTGATCATTTATATTAATTCTTTAATGATAAAAAATCTCTAGGGACTTTCAAGAGAGTTATGACATTTTAAGGGATGAAAATGTAATTTACATAATTCAAAAACATTTTATTGTCACTTTCCCTTGTTAAAAATGTACTTTCATATTATATTTTAAAATCAAATAATTTAGTAAAAGTATGTGATTTTTACATTTTAAAAATAGAAATGAAATGCTCAACCCCAAAACCATATCTGTACAACAGATGAACCTCAACAAGACTAATAACCTCTATTATTACCTCTCTCTGTTTTTTTAACAAGGGGGAGAGAGAGAGGAGGGTAGATAGTGTAAAAAAATTTTACTCCAAAAACCTCTTCACTTTTGAAGAGAAAATGTAAAAGGTCCCACACTCCATTTTTGCCCACTTTTCTTTTTTCTTACTTTTCCTTTATCATCTAAATAATTTAAAAGTTATTTTTTTTCTTATTTTCTATTGGAAATTGTGCTTTAGGCCGATCATTGTATTATGAATATTGTGCTTTATTAAAACTTTCTCTTTATTATCATATTGTTTGCTTGTTCGCTATGATAATCATTTCTTTTGATAAATCATGGTGATTAAGACTTAGATGAATATAATGCATCATTTATAATAATTTTTTTCTATAAGGATAATATTATAATTGCTCTTATAAAACTATCAATTAATTTGGTTTAATAAACACACAGTCATAAACAAACATAAAATCATATAATTTAATATAGGACTAAAAAAATAAAAAGATGATATCAAATACATAAACCTAAAGAAGAAAAATAAGTATATCAAACTTCATAAAAATATTAAATAAAAAATAAAAAAAATAAAGCAATGAATAGTTGATGAGACTAGATTAAATTAAATCACTAATTACATAATTATTTTTAAATGAATAAAATGGACAAATGTAAGACCACTGTGACTAAGAAAGAGGAAAGAGAAGAAAACAAAACAATAAAATATAATGCAGCAAATGCATAAATAACAAAGTTATGAATGTTGATAGAATAATAATATAAAATATAATTATATATAATATAAGAATGCATTAATCTAAAAGGCTATACCTTATTTTTAGAGCTAATTTATGTTGATAATGTGTTATAAATTATAACTAATATGAAAAGTAAAGAAGAATAATACAAGACAAGAAATGGGGGAGAAAACAATGGAGGAGAATTTCTTATTCTCTTAGGTACATGCATGTGCTTTGGACAATGTCTCTATTTATAGGCATCTAACTATTAAAGTCTTATTCTAGTGTTAAGAAAAAAATAAAAAAGTATATGATAGTGCCTTATGTAGCCTTTGAAAGTTATAGGATATTAACTATAACTAACCCCTTCTAAACTATTCATTGGGACATTAAGAATAAGTTAATTTTAAAAAGTATAAGTTATGGATATCTATGTACAATATAATATTTATAATAGGTTATGAGTTATGACCATCAAATTGTGGTCATGCAAGGTAAAAAATAATTACTAAGAGAAAGAAAAGCAAATAAAAAGGAGACGCTACCATAGAAAATTCTCATATTTGATACTTATTTTTTTTCAATATTTGACGGTTTTTAACCGTCAAGTAAGGTTGCAACATATTTTAAGGCATCCTTACTTGATGGTTTTTGAACCGTCAATTATTTAGGTATTATTTGACAATTATTTAAAAAAAACCATTAAATATATTAATAAAAATCATTAGTGCAAAAAGCATATTTTGTGATAGTTGAAAATCATTTTTCATGACACAAGAAGCAACGTAGTGGAAACAAGTATAGTTGTAAGTATACACCTTTCGCAATAGTCACATGAAGCACTATAGAAAAAAAACATAAACTTTACGTGATAGTTATAATAACAATTGTCATAAAAAGCTATCTGGCAAAGGAATTTATCAAGAACTTTTTGTGACAGTTGTGTACAAAACTGTCATGAAAAGTTCCTTTTTCACGACAGTTATGTACAAAACTGTCGCGAAAAGTTATATTTAACCACAATTTTACAAACAATTGTCACGGTATGTGTTCTTTTTTAATTTGGTATGCTTTAAATCCCTTACTTACAAAAGCCTGCATACGTAAACAACAGCTCCAGAGATAATTATAAACATATCCATTGAAATTTCTACGTATCCAATACAAATATCTATCCAATTATCTACTCTAACTTATCAATTCTAAAAGTAAGTAGACCACATATTCCATATATGTCTCAGCTCTTGTTTGAAAAATAGCTCTAAACTATTAAAATGTTGTATATCAATAAAAATATGTGCATGCATATTAATTTAAGTATAGGGTAAAGTATAAAATATAAATTATTTTTAACAAATTATTACCTTTTCAAATGAGTGAGTAATGCCTTGAGTGATGATTTCATACATGAAAATAATCACATAATAACCACACTCTACACTTCCTGATTGTCAAGCACACTGTTAAAAAAAAATAAAATCAATTCAATTCATCAAATCAATATTATAATCTTTATTCTAATTTGGAAAAAAATTTAAAATATTTACTTGTATACACACCCACTTGATTTTATTTTTTTCTTGTCAACTATATCCTCCATCCTCCAATAATAATGTAAAGATCTACTTTTTAAATATGCACACTTAGAATATATTAAAAAGATGCTAATAATATCACAAAATAATTATTCAAAAAACTTACGATTCAAACAATGACTTCATATTATCACTTACTTCCCGTTGTAATGAACAAAACCAATATATAGTATTTTCACGAGAACAAATGATAGGTAGCATCCAATGATTGCTACAAAATATTCATTTATATTAATATCACATAATCATGCAAATATTTTATAAATAGAGAGATGAATAGGATGTTTGATAACTTTCAACAGTTGGTGCAAAAAAACACCTCTTCTTTAGTTTATTTATCGCACTTCCAATATAAGACGCTTTTTTATTTAGTTTCCCAATTGATGTTAAGAGTGGGGATAAAATTTTATAATAATGACTGACATCAACTTGAATGCATATTTTGTGGAGGAGCCTTTGATAATAACAAAAATATTAACAATAAATAAAAATATTAAATATTAAATTAGAAATAAAAATAAATACTTACATGATAAAAACTTGTATTATTGATATGTCCAACTACTCCATAATAACGAGAGCATTAGTACCATTTATGGCGACTTGAAAAGTAATATCCTTCCTAACAATGTCCTTACTTACTTGTATTTCATTAGTAAATTTGTTCATGTCAACAATTATGGAAGCTAACTGTTTCAAGTCATCTCAAATCGGTTGGGGATTGAAACCCAGTGATTCTTTTAGTTGTTGAAGTTCCTAATTGATATATAATCAAAATTAGAAAAATCTTCCATGTTAATTAAGAAATATTCAAAATTATAAAGTTTTCAAACCTCTTCAGTATCTTGTTGAACAAGCCTTCTCAACCAAATAATAAAAGTTTGTTGAGCTTATCCTAATGTTTTCACCTCCTCAGTAGGAAATAGCACAAAAGAATTAGCATCCACGACTACTTCAACAATGATCTTTACTTGATTATCTTGTAATTGTTGGTGGTAGACTATAATTGAATAGTTATACAATTTTTCATATGCAACTATACATTTTACAGGATTTTTCAAATAAATTATGCATGAAAATCCTTGATCTGAAAGGTTAGGATCATACTCTAGCTATAGAACACCACCATTTTTGTGCTTCTTGAGATTACATATGCATGGAACTGATCATTGATTGCATTCCCATCATCAAGCTTGATTTGCATTCCGCTATCATCTTTTCCACTTAGTGTATCGGCACACTGTTAAACAGTGGTGGTCTAAAATATTATCTTATACCAACATCTTTTGGAACTCCCTTAACATGGCCGGGATGCTCTTCACTCTTTAAGGCTATGGTCAATATATCCTTCCTACCAATAGATGTAAAGGTCCCTTGAAAGGCTGCTTCTATAAGAGAATCCTAGAACATGCAAGCAACCAATGCAATTAGTATATTTAAATCTTATAATCTAGATGTTAACTATTAAAATACTTATAATCTTTGCAGCCACTTCTCTAGCTTCAATAGTAATAAAC